GAAGACAGCTAGTCATCACCACCCACCGCCAACTCTTGGGCTACTCTTTTACCAACGAGTAGTCTGATTAATCGTAATATTATAACGCCCCCACGACTGAAAGGGCGAGCATGTTTGTTGTGACGGGGATTCGAATCCGCGACCCGCAAATTGCGAGTCGAGCTTCGTAACCACCTGGCCATGCCGGGCCCATACAAGTTTGTAAGTTGTATACACTTATATACGTATATACGTAACATAATTGTCGCTTGTTTGTTTTTTGTGAAAATTATTCGGTTTCGTTTTCGATTATTTTAAAATGCAATGCTACATAATAGGTCATCTGCGCTCTGTTCATTATGGAAGATCGAACCCCGGATTTTAATGATTTACGTTCATACATTTACGCACATGACACAAATAATTTTCCTTTACTCTTCATATCAGCGTAAAAAATATTACCTCGCAATTTACTCAACAAACATTATCCGGTCTTTTCCTTCAGCAATGATTATAAAATTAACTCTTTAAATATTTTTATATTTTTAAGTCGTGTTTTGTCTAACTTTTAAATGACTCAATAACTGTTTAAAAATATCATTTTGTCGTTAATTTATCATTAGTATTTCTCAAGTTATCCAGGACCTAGGTTATTAATCTGCACATGAATCAGGGATTGTCTTTCTTATAACAAAGAACGAGATGGGTATATGAAATGTAGTATTATGTAAGAAAACAGAAAAAAATATATATATTTTACCCAAGGCAAAACGCTTTGCAAAAAAAATGTTTCTTACCCCTAGGGTTGCAGCACTTCAACCAGAGGATCATCTCATGTTTCATCGGCGGTGAACACTGAAGATCAGCTTCACGCCGTTAGTTCAAAGGTCACGTCGGGTTCATCTTCAACAGTGTTACGAAGGACAGTTTGTCAGAAGGAAGATGCGTTACTGTCTAGAAGAGCAACAACAAAAGTTTAAAGCTACAACTTTTCATTATTTGGATGACTTTCTCAATTCATCTTTCCAGGCCTGATTTTGTTTTATCAGCTGTAACCAAGAGAGACATCTTGAATAAATTACTTAGTTGTATCGCTTTTTCACTTCCACATTATATATTACGATCTGGTGAGAGCTTTAAAACTGAATATTGTGTTTGTCATTTTCAGAGTTTCGGATGCTACATTTTGGTATCTTTGAAACAGGTTATGTGTCTATACACAGTCTAGAATCTACCTACTATCTTGGTGTCGCTTTTATATCAGTACTAAGACTGCTGTGTATCTCCCATACATTGAATTTTCTTATATAATGCACGAGCTTATATAACACATTAAGTGTCTCCAATATTGCAAGATAACCGTGTGGTGAAAAGTAAGTTTTTATCAAACGAACAACTCAAAATCTCTAATTGGTCTTGTTTTACTCTCGATTGACAATAAAATGTTATTTATATCAACACTCAAAATGTTACTATATGTTATTTGGAAGGTATCTTGATTCATTAAAGGCTTTTTGAGATTGGGCATAGACCACCTTTGGTAGTTTTATTATCAAAATAATGTTTAAGACGATCTTGTTTATGTAATTTGATAATCGGAAGCATTTATTAGTTGTGATATTGTCTAGATAGTGCAGTTTTATGAAACGCATGACAACTTTTTATACATGATTTCAATTTGTATTTATAATATCAGATCATTTGATTTACAGATTTTTGAAATAATCAAAACGAGGAAAAAACGCGGTTTAATATCTTAAAATGTTGATTTAGAAGTACATAGAAAGATTTTATGATTTTTCAATGTCTGCAACATTGAAGTTTAAACATTTTGAGCAGGTCATAAAGTGTATATTTTTGATATATGGCAGAAGAATCTAAAAAAAAATGTCATTTCTATGATACTTTTAATACAATATAGGAATATTATTTTGAAGCAATCCCCCCACGATTAAATATAATAACAAATGGTTGTGCCTCAGCTTAACTACACCAGCCTAACCAGATGTCATTTAATAGTCATATACTATCGTCAATAAAAACATCAGATAAGGCCCTCTGAACTTTCAGAATAAGTATTTTTTTTCAGAATAACGAAAGATACGTAACTTTACAGTCATTTTCCTAGTTAGCTAAATTATAAGAACAAAATAATATAAAGTTTGTTTGAAGTTAAACACAAAGCTACACAATGAGCTATCTGTGCTCTGCCCACCACGGGTATCGAAACCCTGTTTCTAAAGGTGTAAGTCCTTAGGACATATCGCTGTGTTACGTGGGGGGGGGGGGCAAAATAATATAAGACTCAAAAATCTGAAAAAAAATTGTATCACTGAATCCACTTAAATTTTCAAAATATTAAATCAGATTCAGTTTATTTCTTTATTATTTATTCTATGTTTCTTAAACTGGAGAAAGCTTAGCTCATTCATAAGCTTTGTCCTGCATTGTTCTAAAGTACTGGCTTCATAAAACATTCCACACATAAATACTTCATCATCTTTATAAATGCATAAGAACTATATCTCAATCATTACTCTGCATTTACTTCCCTTTTTTGCATCCGTTATATGTATTCTATCTACGTTTAGACCGTGTTTCTTTTTTTACCTGAAAAGAAAAAATTCTTATGAATCCGTCAAAATCTCTTCACTTGGTTTAATATTTATATCTGTCATATTCAGGCTATAATGTATTTTTACTTAACTTCACCTTTGCGATTATATTTCAATAACATTCATTTATTCTTCGTTGGATTATCTAAAAAAGTTACTCATGAAGTCTTCAGTGTTTATCTCGGTTTTAGTGTGAACAACATTCAGATCGAGATCAATCTTTTGAACCAGAGTAAATCTTTATAGGCCCCCCCAGTGCCACAGCGGTATGTCTGCGGACTTTCAACGATAGAATTCGGGTTTCGATACCCGTGGTGGGTAGAGCACAGATAGCCCATTGTGTATCTTTGTGCTTAATTACAAACAAACAAATATTTATAGCGTCTACTAATATCTTTGTAGAGTTATATTCATGTAAACTTTATCTTAAACCAAAATAGAATTACTATTATATCAGCTTTAATGCTCCTCTTTACCGAAGAAGAAATATCTTCTGATTTTCTTTACTTCAAATTACATGTCTTATTTTTTGCTTTCGCTTTAAAGTCCTTATTTGCATTTCTTAAAGAAAACTTTAGTGGTAATTGTTTTCTTATTTCTTTGGTTTAAAAAAGTTACTTAAAAAACAATATTTTTTATAATAAATCCTGTATTACAATTAAAATTATAACAATCGAAATATATGTATGTTCCCTCCAATATTTATCAGTCGCTAAAACTAAGCTTCGCACTATGAGCACACCATTCTTTAAACAGTTTTTCGTCTTTATGGGAACGGTATTTTAACACAAGAAAACGTCATTGGGATAAAGCTGATATTTTTTCTTTGTTTGTTTGAATAGCGACAATCTTATATTGCTACGTTACGACGAAATAGCCTAGACAGGTAAAAGTGTAGGAAATTTCTGCTCATATTCGTAATGTTGCTGCGTAGAATCGTGTAATAAGCCATGAAAAGCGGATCTCGCAATAAGCAAAGTTTCTAGAAAGCATCCAATGAGCGAAAATAAAAACTATGGATCGTTATGTGTAGCAACAGAGCTTAAAATTGCAAGAAATGATTCCTTGGAATCGTAAAAGTACCGGAGTGATCATGTAGCAGAAACAATGGCATGTTTCGGTCTGTTTTAACTGAGTGTTATTACTATATTTATTCCAGGACTTTTTCCGATAATAGGAAGGGACTTTAAATTTCTATAAAACAAATGTTCGAGTACTGGAGTTATTTCACTTCTTCAGAAAAGAAGTAATAACTATACAGCTGTATTTATCTCAATAAGTAAGCTTAATTTTTAAAATCTTGCAGTACACAGATCTCTTTAGACGACTTGAATTAATATCACAAACAAAACTCATATTGGTTGTCAGTTTTATCCATATATACTTGTTGTTTTGCTTTTCCTCATCAGAGTAAGACAAGTCCAATTTTATTTTTATTACTAGCTGGAGTAACTGTCTCCTGGTCGGAAGTTATGTAAAGTCAAGATTAATGAAAGCTTAGCTGAAGATATGTAAAAGTTGCTTCCTTTATATGTAATTGTAAAAACACAAAATGGTCCATAAAAACTGCAAAACACAAAATGTGAAACCGCAACTTTGCATGTATCTTAGCATGGACACAACAAACATGCATGGTAAATTTGGTGAAGATCCATCAACGGGGGGCGAAATGGTGGTCAAAAACATAAAAACCGGAAGCGCAAAACTGAAAAGTTGTATGTATCCCCGCATGGACCTAATGAACCTCCATACCAATTTTGGTGAAGATCCATTCCCACCTTACGAAGTAGTTACATGTACATACAACAGACAGTACTATTATATTTACATATACATGTTAAACCTATTAGTAGAAATATTAAAATAAATCCAAACTGTTCTTCCCTTGTACATTGGAGCGTTTTTTTTCTTGTTAATTACTAGCCTAAGATGAACCCCTTGTTAAGAAACGATTCTTTCATTTATCAGTCCTTCAAAATAATTACAGAGTATGCTCTTCCCCGGCAGTATGAACTTTGGTTATTTTGTTTTTATAGTTCTTCTTCAGATGAATTGTAGATAGACACATGTGTGTATTTTCTTATAGCAAAGCCACATCGGTCTATCTGCTGTTTACTAAAAATGCATAATTCAATTTGCATTTACGAAATAATATAGCAGTGATGCACAGAAAACAATATTTATTACACAATTTCGTAGTCATCCGTTATGCAGAAAATAAAGTGTAGGAAATTATTAAAATGGTTAAGAACGATATATTAAAATAGTTTTGAATATGCAAATTAGCAAGTCACCTGATAAACACAGCCGATATATGTCGCTGTGGAATGACATATATCAGAACTACATTTTGACATTGTAGGACGTTTCGTAGAAGATGCCACCGAAAATGTATAACTTTTGGGAATGGCATAGAACAGCCCTTTCCGACGTCTTATATTCATTCACTCAAAGTATAAAGATGTGTTCAGAGTGGAGATTTAGAATTTTCAAGACGCGGATATTCATTGTGCTTAATTGCGTTGAAAAAAAAACATATGAATACAGATCAACGTGAAGCAGCAAGGAGAAAGTCTGCAAGAAGGCTTACTCCATCTGTGGTAAATAGTGTGAGGCGTCTTATAACTGTAGAGAATCTACGAACACTAATATCAGTAGCAAAAGCCGTCCACGTGCCCCAGGTAACAGTACGCAATATAATCAATAGGATTTTCGTCTGGAAAAGCGACACGAGGCACGTGTACACAAGTTACTTCTATGGCATACCTGCTCAACCTTCGCATACTTCAAGCAGCTGAAAAATGAGACGGGTATTCATGCTATTCCATAATAAGTCATACAGGTCAAGTCGCCTATGGATTTTTGTGCGATTGGACTGTTGAAATGGACAAAAGAAAATCGTAATACTCGCTCCTGAGATGGAGTATGGAAAGCCTGTAGAAATGAGGGATGTACCTTCAAGATGACAACCCTACGACGGAGCCTTTTTCAGTGGAAAGTACAGTCCAAAGATATTGTCAAGATGCACGATCGTCAGATAGAGCACGACCAGACGTGGTGAAATGGACTCTAACGAAGTAATAAGGCTCCCAAATCGTTTTATTATAACGTATTCCGCCTCTACACACACACACATACACATATATATATATATATATTCCGACGTGCCATTTAATTAAAGGAGTAGGAATACAAAGTAGGTGATATTTTCTATTTTACATCTATTTATTTAATCGCAAAATATCTTACCGGCCTTCATTTTACTAAAACAATTCTTTCGTTAATAATATAACCTTTTAAGGGTTGAGGTTATATTTGAAGGCATATAAAGTTTCATTGAAAAGAAAAAAAATTGATTTATCTAGGTCTGTCATCATGTAGACTTGAGTAATTACATGTGGATCATACTAATATAATATAATTAAATAGATTATAGTTTCGAGAGAAAAGTAGTCCATACTTATTCATTTATTTGATATATACCACAGAAATTGAAAGTTTCGAGAAGTAATCCTTGTAGAACTAACATCTGGGAGATTAACATTATTTAAAATAGCCAACACAAATGAGTGAACTTATCTCATTCTTCGTTGCCTTTACAACGCCGGTTTGATAAAATGCTTTTGTAAATTAAATTCTATATAGTTCTCCTAATACGTGTCTTCGCCATGTTCCTTGAACACATACGTAGAAATCTAAAGAGAACAAAGTGATTTGTTTTTTTTTAACTTACTTATATCGTTTGAGAAACTGCTTTATAATGAGCATTCCAGAAAAACCCACATAAAAGGGCCTGATATTTTTTTTACCAGACGTCAGGAGATATATAATTAATTTCTTATCTGTCTAAAAAAATTGTAATAAATCTCATCTTGCAAGAATTCTGAA